GCGAGCTCCGGTGCCGGCTGCCCCTCGTGAGCTGACACGGCCGCTGCAGGACCAGGCGCTCGAGCCCGTGCTGGGTCTGGGGGCGACCGCTCTCCCGGGGGCGCAGGTCACCCGCAGAGGGTGCAGGACTCCGCTCGGGGCCGGCCAGCGCGGACCCAGAGAGTGACGGGGCGGTGGGCGGGCGCAGGGACAGAGTGGGTGTGTTGAGCCTGGCGCTGGGCCCGGACAGCTGCGTCCGCTGGCCCTGTCGCAGGACTGGGCCCTCGCTGGGGGCGGCTAGCGGACAGCGTCTCTGAGCGTGACCAGTGTCTGTGTTCCTCCAGATCTCGTGGCTGTGCTGTGCCCCAAGGGCCCGCTGCGGATGCTGGTAGAGACTGCTCAGGAGAGGAACGAGCCCATTTTCCCTGCCCTGATATACTCCTGTGAGTGCCTGTGTCCACTGCACGTGGCCGCGGCGGGGGCGGGGCGGCCCTGGGCGGCCTCGGGGTTCCGGGAGTCCCCGCAGCTGCCCACGGGAGAAGGCTGCCGTGGCCCTGCCTCTGTGCCTGCGTCTGGGGCGACACTTAGCGCAGCCAGGGGGCTGGAGGGGCGTGGCCGCCCCCTCCCCAGTGCTCCTGGTGTCTAGGCCACGTTCCCGGAGCCTGGGGCCCCCCCCGGGGGCTCGAGGCGGGCTCGGGGGAGCGGGTGCCGCCCTCCGCAGCAGCTGCGAGGCTGACAGAGTTGTCTCTGAAGGGACGCTGCGGAGTGGTCACTGCTGGCCTCGAGGCAGCCAGCGGGGGGTTGGGCTTACAGACGCCTCCAGCAGGGCTGTGTGGGCTCCCCGTGATGCCACCATGCCGGGCTTCGGGGTGCCGTGTGGTGAGCGCGGTGCTCTGGACACTTGGGAGAGCCGAACGTGACTCTTGACGCCCGCACGCCAGCGGAGAGGCTCAGGAGCCCTCTGTGTGCCGACGGGTAAGCGCGCAGACCGGCGGGCACGTGGTGCCCCTTAGCCCAGAAAGACAGGTCCACTGGCCGCAGCACGGATGGGCCGCGAGCGCGTCTTGGCGCGCAGTGGCCGCGCCTGAGGTCCCTGGCGTGGCCGGAGAAACAGAAGTGCAAAGCGCTGGTGGCGAGGAGGGGAGGCAGTTTGTGCTCGGTGGGCTCAGGTGAGAAGGCCCCGGAGCTCCGTTTCACAGCGTAAGCAGAGTTGGGGCTGCTAAGCCAAACCCGAGATTGGTGAGAGCCTGCCCGTGTGGGGGCCTGGCCGCATCCGAGGGCAGACTGCTCAGCTGCTGTCCCGTGCAATGTGGTATCGGTGAGGAGGCGAGAAAGGCTCAGCCTGCCCGCCCTGGCCCACGGGTGGCCCCTTCTCGGCGGCCGTCCCGAGGGGCAACGCCGGAGCCCGCGGGCAGTGAGGACCTGCCAGCTGCTGGCACAGGGGCCATCTGCCCCGGGCCTGGGCGCAGCCGCGGGCGCCCCCGATCCTCGCCTTCTCTCCTTCCCAGCTGCCATGGTGTGGACAGTGGGCATGGCCAAGCTGGACCCCTCCTCCCAGGGAGCCCTGCAGCTCCCCTACGACCCAGAGATGGGTAAGCGGGGACCCGGAGCCCCCTCCTGGCCGGGAGCCGCCTGTCCGCCGCTCCGGCTTGGCCTCCCCAGGGAGCTCGTGGTCAGAAGGGCGGGAGGGTGGTGCCCGCGGCAGCAGGACGGCGCTCTGGCCTCTGCCCGCCCTCCTCCAGCCCCGCAGTCACGAGTCTGTTGGCGCGGGGCGGCTGGGGGAGGGAGGAGGGCGCCCCGGGGCCCTGTGCCCCGAGGCCCGGCTGGGTTTGTCTCTCCCTTACCGCCCCTCGAGTGATGCCCGTCGTCTTCTCTCCCTGGACGCCCAGAAGAAGACTCCTATGACAGTTTTGGGGAACCTTCGTACCCCGAAGTCTTCGAGCCCCCGCTGCCCGGCTACCCGGGAGAAGAGCTGGAGGAAGAGGAGGAAAGTAAGGTGCCCGTGCCCACGGCCTGCAGTTCGAGGGTTGGGGTTCCCTGAAATCAAGGGAGCAGGCACCAAGGCCCCTCTCACACTGGGGGGGACCTGCAAGGTGGGCCCTGGGCGCTGGCGGGGGGGCTGTCACGTCCAGGCTCAGCACGAGTGTGGGGTTCGCCGGGCGCCCGCTCCACCTGGGCGGGCGGGAGCTTCCCGCAGCCCAGCCCTGGGGGCACTCGCTGTCCAGCGGGCCGGCCACGGGTCACGCGTGCTCTGAGCCGGGGCCACGGTGAGGTGAGACCGGTGCTAGGGAGACAGATGGGGGTCTTGACCCGCTGCCTGTGGGCCCGGCCCCCAGGAAGCAGCTGGCAGCGGTGTTTCTGGCTGAGGGGACAGTAGTGTCCCACCCAGGAGCCAGGGCAGCCGTCTAGAGAGAGGTGGGCTGCCTGTGGCCTCTCTGAGCACCCCAGGGCCCTGGCCCCAGGCGCTGGCCGGTGCCGGCCACCTCTTGGGGCTCCGGAGGGGTGACAGGCTGCGCTCCCCGTCCCCACACAGGGGGCGTGAAACTGGGCCTCGGAGACTTCATCTTCTACAGCGTGCTGGTGGGCAAGGCAGCGGCCGCGGGCAGCGGGGACTGGAACACCACGCTGGCCTGCTTCGTGGCCATCCTCATCGTGAGTGGGCTGGGCGGCCCGGGCGCAGCCTCCGGGGTTTGCAGCCCCAAGATGCGGGGTGGGGCGGGGCGGGGCGGGGCGGGGCCCGGCCCTACGGGGAGCTCTGCACCCCGCTGCTGTCCCGGGCGAGCTGGGTGGTCCCCTGCGTCCTACAGACGAGGACAGACGGGGGCCGAGGCCACGCAACTCCAGGCACGGGGGTGTCAGGGTGGCCCCGTCCCGGAAGCCCGGCGGTGGAATTGGCGGGTTCCTGGGGTCATCAGAAGAGGGGCGGCGCCACACGCACCCAGTGGGGGAGGAGCCGGGACTCCCCGCTTGCGGCCCGAGCCAGGTCCCGTGCCCGCCCCGGGCACGTCAGGGCCGGCCAGACGGACCAGG